AATTCAGTTCTTGCTTCTTATTTTCGGTAATTTGGTTTATGTTGTATAAGCTACATTATATAATTATATAATTGTTTCCTCAAAAATCCCCGAGTCACTTCGCACGTGCGAAATCTGGATTTTCACTTATTTTTCTGAAAAGTAAGAAAAAAAAAAGGATTTTCTTAACGACCCTCTTCTTTTTCGTAATCAACTTCTGTCAGGATGGTTGCAAGAACGATGGTTTAAGATTGAGTTTTGCACCCTTCAAACAATTTGCAAGAGGGAGAGATGCCGTCCTGTAGAATGGGTTGCTAATCTGCATTGGGCAATCTCAAAGACTTTAACAATATCATGAATTTAAATTAATAGATCCAAAATGAATTGAATAAAATGCAAATTAGAATAAACTTGATGTTTATTGCACGAAAGGAAATCAAAGAAGCAATTACGCAAACTAATTTGGATACTTAAATGTTAAAAACAACTTAAATCTATTGGAATATGTGCTAAAATTGAAATATAAAAGCTAAGATGAACAATCACTACGTAACTAAAGAATTGAAAAATTGATCAGTTTTTGTGTAGGGCTAGCCGTGTCTTGAAAAAATTAAGAAAGTTTCTATTTATATGCTTTTTCAAATTGTTTTTTGGCTAATCAGATCACGAATAACTTCCTCCCAAATTTTAGAGATTTCTGTTTCTTTTAAATTCAAGCTGCAACAAACCGGATAACCTTTATCCTTTCAACCAATTTTACATATATACATCCCTTTAAAAGATTTGATCTCACTTTATCCATTGACACATGGCATCACTTACAAAATGCAATTTATAATGTAAACAATACCCCCAACACTTGATTTTATGCAAATAAATTCAAATGTTTATAATTAAATAAATTGCATGCAAACTCCAACCACCAATGCTACATGTTAAACAACTCCAAGGTCTGAAAGAAGAGATCTCAAACCTTGAGGCCAAGCTTGCGGAACCAAACAAATAAATTCTCATTGTGGAGTAGACAAAAAAAAGCTTGGCAAAACAGTGTAGCAAACTTCGCATAGATATAAAGGCAAACTTAAACAGAGTTTTCAAAATCAAAGATGAGTTTTCCTCTTTCACAGCCTTTGTTGCATGCTTGATCTAGAACATGTTGAAATCTAACACGACCATAATTTAGTTGCTATGATGGCTCACGGCCAAATTTGGCTAGCTTACAAATTTAGATCAGCACCTTTATTAAAACTCAAAAAATGTTAAATTGGAAAAAAAAAAATATTATGCAATTTCACCCAAATCTGACTTAGTCAGAATTCGAAATATTCAAATTTACCTCCTCTAGCGGATCTTATACTCTTTCTTTAGTTTAAATACCATTTTGATCCCTCAACTTTAAAAAATATCAAAATTATCTTTAAATTTTCATTTTTGATACCAAAACAGTCCTTCAATCAGTTAAATGGACAAATAGCATGTTAACTTGCCAACAAATCAATTCTTTTTTTCTTAACTAATAACATGAAAAAAAAAAAACCATAGTTGGACATATTTTTTATGAGTTGAAATTTTTATTTAATTTAAAAATAATAATGTATTTTTTTTCATCCACGTCACCAAAAAGAAGATCTCTTCTTCCTCTTTCACGTTCTCTCTCCTTCACCTTCCCTTTTTCCTTACCTCTGCAAACCCAAATCTGGGTTTTCTTTCTCAAACTTCATCTTCTTCCTTTACCTGCTCATCCTTCTTCTTTCTTCTTCTTATTCTTTCTCTCTCTCTCTCTTCTCCCTTATTCTTCCTCTCTCAAACCCAGATCTCAATTTCATCGCATAAATTAACAATTTGATGAAGTTGGTGATAATAAGAAAAGCAATACAAATCATTCCATTATATTAATTAAATATAAGCTCCGATTTCAAACGGCGATTTGAGAAAACAGCATCATCGGAAAAGGACTTTCTGCAATGAAGAAGAACCAACGAGCTCTGGTACAAGATTCGGAGTTTGCGAAGCAGAATCTGAGTGCGATGTTTGAGAAAAACTCAGATCACCATGAACATATAATTTCCGTGAATAAGCACAAATTGCCCGAAACTGAAAAGAATACAGGCAATGAAAGGCCAGAAGAAGAATAAACCTAACAAAGATCAAAAACAACTCCTTCGGTCTGAGCCCACAATCTCTGCAAACATCAAGGAGCTCGAAAAGCTCTATGAGCTTCTCCAGAAGCACGATTCTCCAGCGTCCAAGCAAGCAGCCTCAGATCGGTCGGAGCTAAAGCAGACTGAGGTAAATTGGAGGCAAACCTACCGGAAATATTTGATGGAGAATATGAGGTTGAAGGTTGAGCTCCAAGATCTTGAGATGGAGTTCGAAGAACTCGACCTCCATGAAGTGCCTGAAATTCTCAAAAGAGAGCTACGCAACTACAGGGTGAAATTTTACCTCCATTTTCAGCTCAATCTGCCTGCCATTTTTCCTTCTCACCAAACTAGAGTCTAGAACCCAACATAATCTGAGAAAAACCTAGATTTGGGATTTGAGAGAGGAAGAAGAAGGGAGTAGAGAGAGAGAGAGAGAGAAAGAAGAAGAAAAAGAAAGAAGAATGATGAATAGGGAAAGGAAAAATATGAAGTTGGAGAAAGAAAACCCAGATCAAAGATCGTTTTTTGGGGAATCCATGGATGAGGTGCGGAGGAAGAAGGCTGGGAAAGAGGAAGGGGCAGAGGGATGAGAGAGAAGGGAGGAAGAAGAAGATGAATAATATAATAATAAATTATGTTGGTTTTTATTTAAATAAGAAAAAAAATGTCACATGGAAAAAGAAAAATGCCATCCCATCATCAAGTTTGTTTTTCACATAATTATTATTATTTTTTTAAATGTGATTTCGTGACAAGATAATGTGCCACCTGTCACTTAACTAACGAAAGGATTATTTTGGTACCGAAAATGAAAGTTTAAGGATAATTTTGATACTTTTTAAAGTCGAGGGATAATTTTGGAATCAAAGTGAAAAGTTGAAGGACCAAAATGGTATTTAAACCTTTTTCTTTTAGATCGTCAAGTTTGGCTAGAGCTAGATCTAACTCCTCCAAAGTAACCTCATTTGTCAAATCTTCCTCTTCATCTCTATGGATCACCTCAGATTTGTCTACGCTGATCCACTTTTCTGCAAGATAGGCCACTAATTTCTTTTTAATTTCTTCCATGACCTCCTTCTGGCAAATGATTCATTGTCTCTTCATGGAATTTCTTCAAATTTCTTGCTCTTCCCTCGGCCTAAAAGAAACAATTGCTGTAGGCCGAAAGAGTTCATCGTAAACCTCCTTTACTGTGCGTCTAGTAAGTGCTGATTTGATACTGATAGTAATTCCTACTGGTCTGCCATTATGGTCCATCCCAAAAAAATGAATGGTCCCAATTTCTTCATCACAATAACAAGCTTCTACCAAATTGGTGTTAGCCACAAAAGGTTGTTTGTCATTAGCTTTCATAACCTCAGTTTTACAACCATTCCAACTAATGCATTATAAGTAGAAAATTGCCACAGCTACATTAGTCACCATTCCATTTTCAGTTGAAGTTGATCTGGAACAGAAGTCAAGACAATGAGACATTAAATAGAAAATTGATCTTTCTTGTTCACATACCTTTTTTTTTTTAGATTAACTTAGATGACTATAGAATTCAGATGTCAGCAGCATATATCTTTTCAACGCATTTTGGAGCTTGCAAGAGATTCTCTGCTAACTAAAACTGTCAGCATTAAGATGTAATTCTCAACTTCACCTCAAATTTTACGGCAAGACAAATGATGTATTTCTTCCTTGGAACCAGGACATTCCACAAGCAAATGTAGACATTTGGACCTATCAGCAATGAAATGTCTACGCAGCTTACATTTACCGAGGGCCCATTTCCTTCTACAAACCAGCATAACAAATTTTATCACCATGATCAGTTAATTCGATCCAAACCATGTCTTGCATTTTCTAGGGTTAATAAACAACCTTGAATTATCATATGGAATAACCTTGTTACAATAATATATCATCTTCCTTTGGAATGCTACATGATCTCCCTCCACTCTCAGTTTTTAAAGGACAGTGGCATACATAATATTTCAGCTATTGCAAATCCTTGGTCAATGGTGGAATGGAGTTACAGAGATTACAGGGCGAGCTCGAGTACTTCTTGGCAAAAGAGATGGGCATGGGAAATTGGGGGGCGATTTTGAAACCTTGAAGAGCCTGCATGGCTACCCCTGACTGCTCTTCATCTTCGTACTCCACAAATGCAATGCCTGGCTTTGCTTCGATCATTCGGACTTCCTTGAATCCTGGGTACTGGGCAAAGAGCAACTGCAACATTGTGCT